CGGTGTGTAGTCCGGAAGTCGCACAAATTCAAGTCAGGTTGACCTTGACTTGATAAAAAGTGTAGCAAAACAAATGTTAGCGAATAACTGTAAACAGCATCAGAAACCAATCTTGGGGAATCGTGGATCCCCAACACTCTACCTGAACCAATTGAGAAGGAATTTTCACGTTTAACATAGTGGCTGTAGGTGACTAATCCTCATTACAATCCTCTTTGCTTTATTGAACAATTGATGAATTCTTTGGTTGCATGTGGTCATATAGGCGACATCTGAGACCAAATAACTGTCTATGCCCAGTGATTTTCAGCATGGCTAAACTCGCGAATCAAAACAAGCAATTGGCGATTGTACTTGTGCGGTACATTGTGACTCGGGACAAGATATACCACTGCGTAGCACAACTTAAGTATAAAAGTGTGTCTTATTGGCAATCACAGGCTTCCCTTAATATTGCAGGCAACATGGTACAAAGGCTCAATGTATGGTGCCTACCAACGAGAATTTCTGCAGAAGGCAGTCTTGGGAAGAGCTGTCAGTCCTCTGCGTGAGGCCATGCTACAGCCCAATGATATCATGCATCCAGACGAGCTGTTTTTCCCCACTCTCACCTACAACGATTTTGGGGATATAGGATACCCAAGATTGTTTTAAATGGTTTCTGGCACTATTTACGCTCATTCCCTAACATGTATTTTACTACGCTTTTATCAGGTAAAGGTCAACCTAGACTTGAATTAGTTTCACTTCTGACAACTCACTCCGCATGTGGCTGATGTGATTAAAGCTTTCTACACGAGCTCTGGTTTTGTCCTTTTGTTAGCCTGGGAAGGTTGGTGCTAGCGTCAACATGGGATCTGGTACCGTTATTTGAGTGGTTTTCTCTTGGTAGCAGGCAAACGTAACAAACAGTCAGCTGCGCTTGTAGAGATTTGTCATCTGGGAAGGTTGCTATAAACGCTGCTATCGACGAATGTGCCACATATATATCAGACAATTAATGGCTCAAATAACATCATCCTATCATAATGGAAACTGCTCTGATCCTAGCATTCATGCCAAACAATTACCCACAAGAAACCCTATTCAGTGACTGTGTTACATTTGGTTTTATATTAGTAACCGTCAACCTTGATTTAACCAGTACTGTTTTAACATATCCAAACAGACACTGTGGAACCAGTATTCGCCGTAAGAAGAATGCCAGAGTGAAGAGTCCGGAAACATCGTGAGATAAAATTGATGAAAAATCCAGTGATTCAATCTCAACGATTTGAACAAACGTCTCAGTCACTTTTTCTTCATAATCTCATAAATCCAGTTTTGAAGTCTGGGGTTTTCGGCTTGGTGAGTCTGCACTACAAAAATATACTCACACACATTCTAGAGTACAAAGGTACGAATAGAAACGAATAATTGCCATATAAAATCACGTTTTGTACACAATTTATAAATATAAGCAGACAGCCCTAGAGTTTGCGAATCCTTGTACTGGTGAGCAGGTCTTCCGGCGGTTACACGCATTTTTAAGCACATTCAACGCATAGCGAAATTAGTCCATCCACAACCAACAATTTACTGTGCATTTTACAACGAATTCCCCTCACAATTCACCAACCAAATGTTAACAAGATAGAACAGTTCTGTACCAATACTGTCGCAAAGCCTGACAAGAGAAGAACTATAGTTGGTGTGTTGCATCAGGAACGTACGTTGTGAGGACTGACCTTACAATGGCGTAGAATTTGCCCACTTCCAGAGCCAATGAAACGGCACAATTCAATGCAGCAGAAATATTTCCTCATAAGCTGCCATCTCTTCAAAAATAAATACTTTGTGTGTACTCTGAACACAGATGACTCCAGTAGCGATAATAGTTCTGGCGTGTTCTGTCCAGACAGGCAGTTTACGTCACGTTAGCGACATGTTGTCAAAATCAGCGCTTTACCCCCGAATTCGATTCGATCTCTCATTCACACTGTCAACAGTTTCGACAACGTTTTCACATCTCAGCAGCAACGATTTTATTTAAGTGCTCTAGACCAGTTGTTGAACCAGAGTTCTTTGCCAAAATCAACTCTCCCACCCATCCACACTGTCTGCAGTTCCGCAAGCGTTTTGCCATCACAATTGATCCACACGTTGACATGGATATAGCGTTCACGTTGGTGGTGCACAAGGACCTGGGTCAAATTGCTCGACTCCTTCGAATGATTTACAGACAAAACAACTACTACTGCATTCATGCTGACAGGCGTTCAGACTGCTTATTCATAGAGGCCCTGCGTGGTGTGGCGACGTGTTTTGGTGCCAACGTGGAATTAGTTCCAAATGAAGAGCGCGTGGCAGTACATTGGGGTTACGAGTCAGTCCTGATTCCACAAATTACCTGTGCGAAACAGGCGTTGATGAATCACGCTACGTGGAAGTACCTGGTGAATTTGGTTGGGCAGGATTTCCCACTGCGAACGAACATGGAGCTGGTGGCTGCACTGAAAGCACTCAATGGATCCAATCTCGTTGAATCTGTCGAACTGGGCAGATTTGCGTGGCGGACACATAAGAGGCTGCTGCCATTAGGGGTGAGTGCCTAGCTAACGCCTTTACCGTAATATGTCATTCCTTCTCTATGAAAGTGCACTGCTTGATATTTAACAGAGAGACAATGGGTAAAGGTGTGTTTCCGACGTTGAGCGTGACTTCTTGAATTACACACATGCCACTGAACAAGACGACGCACAATGTTGTAGCAAGTTATTCTATTGTCACACGCCGTCCTAAATAGCTCCAAGGTACCTGTTCAGTTTACCCAGGCCATTGATTATACTTTAAATAAGTTCTATAATTTTCATCCATATATATTTCAACTACACCAATAGAAAACAAATTACGGTGGTATTGCAAGTGCCATACAACTCTTGTTCGTCTGGTAACCATTAGCAATGTTTATAGCAAATACCCAAGACAGCATCACACCTTAGTACGTCGAGGTCAAGGTGTTGGTCATAATCAGTAAAAGCATTTGAAGGGGTGTAGGATTGCAGTCGCACTAGCATTGAGACACGTGATATTTGCATTCAAATCCACAAATCTTAGCTAGCGTTTCATGTTGTAGGTAACATGGAAAAAAGGCATCATCTATGGTGCATCGTCTATATCTATTTTAACCAATAAACGAGTTACTCATGCAATGAAATTCCGAAAAATTGCAGCTACTTTTGGCCTACATTTGACGTTGTAGACAACATGGTACATAGGCTCAATCTATGGTGCATTTCGAAGAGAATTTCTACACGAAGCAGTCATGGGAACAGCTGTCCGTCCCATTCGCAACCTCATGCTCAAGCCAAAATATATCAA